GATTTTGTTACTTAAATTTGCCTGTAACACTTATCTCGGGTCCAAAAAAATTGGTTGCATAATCAATAAATGACAATTTTAGGCTGCACTGGCTAGCCAAAAGGGCAAATCATGCTAGCAGTGCTTTTTTTTGGGAAAAAAACATGAAAATTTTGCTTGCAATGAAGAATTTTGTCAAACATTGTGCTAGTACAATCTTTAAAAGCCTAAAATTCACATAGCCACTCTCGTCGGTGTTAGTGGACTTCCATAGCCACCCTTCCACCCTTTGTAGGTTAACATCTGCACTAAGAAGAGCAGAATAGGGAGGAGGGAGAAATGGCCCGGAAAAGTAGGAAGGAGGGAGAAATCGAGGCGAAGGTGTAGGGAGGAGGGAGAAAATGAAATGACGGGAGTAGGGAGATATCGATGAGAAGGTACGGTTTTCTATTCGTGGCCATGAAGATGTTAGCAAAAGCAACGGCCATCTTTATTCCCATGGCAGTTCCATGGGTCTGTAGGTGGTTGCTACGGCAAAATTGGAACGATTATTCTGTTAATATAGAGTATTTCAGATACTTGGTAGGTATAGGGGCTTTCTCTCTGCCGTGGTTACGCCCTCTTGTGGTATGTTGGTGTAGAGGCGAAGCTCTGTGTTAAGTTAGCCCAGGACCAAATGGTTCTGCATCAGGCACCCAATTATGGCATTTTAGTTTGAATAAAAGTTTATTCTTTTTCTTGAGACTGTGTGCAGAAGGTCATTTACAAGCAATAGGCATCAAAAATTAATAAAGGGAAAGCGACTAACTAATGAGGTATTCCTTGAAGCTAAAATTACAGCTCAGTGTATTAAACAAAAATAAGAAACTTGACTTGCAGTGTCTAAAGAAAGGGAAAAACAAGTACTTCAGCAATAATTATCATTAGAGTCAACATTCTTCCTTTTTTTTATCTTTAACTTTTTGTTTCGTTTGTATTTTGTGAGATTTCCAGATCTGCTGGTTCTAAGCGTGATCTACAGAACACTGCCATTGATGAATCCCTCGACTGCTTCACTCGCCATCCATATAGATAAGGGTTTGCAATAGCACTCAGGCATAAAAGAAAGTCTGCAAACTCGTGGCATACGAAAAACCATGTGGTTTCAGAACAACTTTGGCAGTTTGCCTCAATAACTGTCATTACAAGATAGGGGATCTGGGTTAGTACCAAAGCAAGAAGTATCAGGAACGCACTGAAGGCGAATTCTTTCTCGCTGTTCGGACGCCTAATTTGTTTTTCACCTTTTTGAGATGTTTCGTCTCTTCCCGGAATGGCTTTTCTTCTTTTGCGTAAAATGAGATAGATGAAAAGGTAAATAATTCCATCAGCCGTTAGGGCAAAGGTAACAAACATATGAACATCCACCGTGTCGTAAATTTCAACAGGGACGTCCGCTAGCTGAATTAAACTGAACGCCATGCAATAAAACCAGGCGCAAACAATGACAATGGCCGCGTGAGTGTTCTTGACGGAGACGCGGTAAAAAATTGGAAAAGCGACAGCAAGAAGCCTGTCAACTGACACGGCAAATATCAACACGGTAGCAGAGTTGTCGATAAAGTAATCGATGATGTGGTAGAAAGTTGTTTCGCCGTCTTTGTCCTTGACACAGTAGAATTCTATCCTTGCTGAAAGGGGGTTAAGAACGGCGCCAAACAGAAAATCGGTCATCGCCAATCCCGTCATGTAGACTGCAAATGGTCGCCGAAAGCATTTTAGCGGATCCTTGAATATCACGTACAGCAACAGGCCGTTGAATGTAACCGTGACGATTGATGCACTTAGATATAAGGCACCTACCAAACCACAAACTCCGATTCGGATACCGTCCGGGACTGTGGTAGATGAGGTTGTCACGTTTTCCATAGCGTAGGGCAACTGACAAAAACCAGTGTAGAAGTCTTTAATAGAAAGACAAAAATGACACTGCAGGCATGGGCAGCTGGTATAAATGATGACACAGTCAACTCTCGATTTTCATATGATTTAAAAGGAAAAGAAAAACCTATGACACCTAGGATGCGAAGCGGAAGAGTTGCTTGACCACAGGCAGCTCAGGTGACCAGGCCATGTGTCGAGTAATCAGGGTTTAAAGATCATCAGTATCAGGAACCTACATATGTCTTGTGTAAATTGCTAACAAATAAATGCCAGGCTTTTCTTCAATATGTAGTCTATTCGTTTCTCTATTTGTGATAATTCGTGTTCGTGTTTTCGTGAGCTTAATTTGTTGGTTTTTATATGACGTCACTAAAATTCAAACTAAAAAAACTATCGATCCTACCGAGATTTTACTTTCACGGATTAGAGCAGCTGAAAACTAATTTTCATACAAATTTTCGCTTCAAAAGGGTGAGGGAGTTTAAGCAAATCGCTACGGCGACCTCTTTGCTATCTAAACAGTTCATGTGTTAGAAAAAGTATTACTTTAATGTTTATGAGTTTTTCGAAGAATAAATTCACGTTTTTGTAGGAAAACTCGGAAACAGATATTTCTCTTGGTTTCCGTCCGCAATGTTGGAACTCATCCAGCTGAGCACCAGCATGGCGTCTCCAAACAAATCTCTATATATTTGGGTAAAACATTTCTTCGGATACCTCGTATACGAAATATTCCTCTCTCTTGAATCTTGGCGAGGATCTCTGTATATGTACCTCTTTTCATTTCCCAGATTCTGGACTTAATCTATTCAACGGTTTTGATTTTTATTTTGATCTATTTTGAATGGCGTGACACTGAAAACCTCGTATTGCTACTCACGATTCAGTGTTATTTTTACCCCGACTCCTAAGCACTCATGTGTACTACAACCTCTTCCCCAGTACTTTTCTGCAAGAAACCTCGGGGCACTAAAGGCCCTGGTATCGGCTATTTGAAAAAGACACCCCAGTGCTCCTCAGTGCCGGGGCGCTTTCCATTCAACAAAAATTTTGGTTTGAAATTTCGAAAATTCCACGTGCCCTATGGAACGGTTCATTCCGGTTTCACAGATCCGTTCCAAGCCACCGCGTGTTTGCTTATTGTTCCCTCTGCAAGCAGGATACAAAAGAGCGGTACTGGGGACAACAATTTTGTCAAATGGAAAGGACTTTCGGTCGGACCGACTGAAATGAGTGGACTGGTCAAAGTGAACCACCTTCAAAGGTTGTCCCAAATATTCCCGTCGGACCGCACCGAAATGGCTCGTTCCATTTGATTTCTAATCAAAATTTGCGGATATTTGGCCTGAATGGAAAGCGCCCCCAAAAAATTGGGTGCAATAAATTTATGATGTATGAAATGTGACATCAACGTTCATGCGTAACCGTAGAAGTAGAAAGAAGTCACTGGCCTCGCGATCTAACGCCGACCAGGACCTATGATCTATCTTAACAGAATCTTACGCACTATTTGTAAAAGACCAAGCTAATTAATGATCCATTGAGTAATACTTCCGTTTCCTTTGCAGTAAAGTAAACTAAAGTAAGCTGTTTGATACCAAAGATTTACAAACCTCTTGGTAAACTTCTGGTAGAAACCACGGCTACTATGCACGGTTACAAATGCAATGAAAAATAAAAATGCAAACCATTCAATACAGAAGGACTAGAATCTGGGAAATGAAAAAAGATAAATATACAAAAACCCTTGCCAAATGAAATATTTCAAATGGGAGATATTGGGAAAAACGGTTTACCTAAATTTATTGTTTCGCTGATACGTGCGAAAGTTTGTGACATTCCATATGCACGTGCTCGTTGAAGCCCTTAATATTCAGTTTTCATAAATCGTACCTTTCAGTAAGGCGAAATTGTAATTAATTCAAAGACATGAGTTGGAACTTGCAAGAGTCGATTCCGGTCGTGGAAAAGAGTGGAGAGTGGATTACAAGAGTGGATTTGAGAGCACTCAATGGATCGAACATTCGCGGCTGCAGGACACAATTTCTAGCGGGCACCTATCGAGGAACATTGATCTGACATTCGTTATATTATTTTATTTATGCGTTCTCCTAGTGATATTTGTACTGTAATTCTACTTTAGGTTTCGAAGGCGTTGTAATGCATCTTTGAGAACGGTAATGAACATAGTGGATTGCAGCTAGCGAAACATTTATAAAGTTTGAATAAAATCGCCATGTTGGTGTCCTTTTCAGGAACACCAATATGGCCGCCGGATACCAACAGAAACATCTGTTTTCGAGTTTTCCTACTAATGCGTGAATTCTTCGCTTGAGGAACTCACAAAGATTACAGTAATATTTATTCTGAGACAAGGAATGTTTAGATTGCAAAATCTCCCAAAATCGGTAATGTTTTTATCCCACATAGGAGCTAGCCTGCGAAAACATCCGTTTCTCCTCGCTCTTCGTCGCTGAGGACGTTTCGCGCGAAACGTCCACAGCGACGAAGAGCGAGGAGAAACGGATGTTTTCGCAGGCTACAAAGGAGTTTTCCCGGCCGCCAGCTAAATGCCGCGTCACGCAAAAGCCTGGAAATTCAAGCGTCCTCTCTCGCAAAACGAAGAACTCTTTCGAACCAAAAATTTGTTTATGTAAAGGTGTTTAGGTACTGTAATACCTCGTGAAAGTAGAAACTCAGAAGAATCGATTGTTTCTTAGTTTGATTTTTGGTGACGTCACGTGCAACCCAAGAATCCAATGCAAAAAAAAATGGGCCTCTCCCTCGTGACTCTACCACTTTCCAGAGCTCTCTATCCGCCCCCATGCCAGCCCCCCACCCCCGAAATAAAATACGCATCATTTTCAGACCCACATCTTAACGTCTTCAACGTCTTCACCTCTCTACTCTCTCGAAATTCCCCGGATGTGGAGAAGTCACGCACTTTTAGAGCAGCTTGAACTTGAGCTTCAACATCGTTGCGTTACATTTCGTACCCAGTCTCTTGCAGAAAAATCTCACAGCGAAGACCACAAAAACACTCAACGCCATCACGGGACTTTTGCACGATTAACTCTTTTATCTGCTGTAGTTTCTTCTGCAGAGACCAACATGTTTCTCATACAGAACCGTTTGGTAGTGTTCTGTTTCTTGTATTGTTGTCGTTCACTTGCTCGTGGTAGAGACCCTGACACGAAGCCAAACATCGTGTTTATTTTGAGCGACGATCAGGATGTCTTTCTTGGAGGACTTGTAAGCAAAATAATGAGCCTTTACTAGATTAATTTACTGTTCATGATTGATACATTGATAGGTGCAAAGTTCAAAGCGTATATTTGCTGCGTGTTTGCTGTTTCCTATTTCCCACAACCCGTAAAGGATGGCCACACCACCGGGGTCTGGGACCCCTACTCTTTTCGAACAGTGGTGTGGGTTCTTTTACGTCCCGCAAGAACAAATCAGTGAAAGTGCTGTGAGACGGGACCTACAGTTTTTCGTCCTTATCCGAGAAGACTAGAAAGTCTACACATTTGCAGATGTCATTTTTACAAAGGCAGCACTTTCTTGTTAGTTATTTAAAGACCCTGAGTGTTGGTCCGGCCGGGGTTTGAACCCACGACCTCTCGCTCGCCAGATCGGCACTCTCCCAACTGAGCTGACTAGGTGGAGGTGAGATTCTGATGTCCACTTCCTGCTTCAGTGGGATCATGGGACGTTCAATCCCCCTCCCCTCATCCTAATGACGATAGCAGGAATACCTAGCCTCCGGGCACTCTGGCGGCGAATATCTGCATTGAAAAAGTCGATGTGAAATGATGATTGGCGGAGATGACATTAGTAATGATGTCATTAACCTTTGCACGTGTTTTTTCAATGTTTGTTTACATTCGCGCTCATTTCCGCTCCATGCTAATTGGCAGAAATCTGACAGCTCAGTCAACCGGGAGCCACAAGGGAATTGGAGGTGGAATTCAAATTCTAGAGACTTCGTTGCAAGCTCTCCCTCCTTCCCACCCTCCCCCCTCTCCCACCCTGCCAGAGTGTCCCAGAGAGTGTTCTTGAAGGCTAATTGATGCCCTTTGGAAAATTAAAGTTAAATTGTTGTTGTTTGTTTGTTTGCTTTTTTGTCAGCACCTTTGGAAAACATTCTTACATTTAGGGTCCAAATACAATGTTTTGTTAGCATTCGTTGGAAAACCTGAAAAGCGATACCAGCTTGGAAAGCACGGAAGAGCTGAGAACAGCTATGTTGGATAGGGACACCTGGAAAAGGTGTGCTCTTGCTCGGCCATAGTAGTGTTAGTAGTAATAGTAGTTGGAAAACAAATTTTGAGCCTGACTTCTTTTTTGTGGTGAGGGCGGCGGAGTGAGGTGTTTGTTAAAAATGGATGGCTTCCTTGTGTACTTAACTCATGGGTCAGCCCTTCCTTAGATACCCATATAACTGTGTCACTTGCCCTTTGCCATTCTTTCTAGTTATAAGTTACATGAAATAATTTATTGGTACCCTGAGCAAACATCAGAATGACACTGTGTAGAAATTCACTCGTGTGTTTAGCATGGAAAGTTTTATACTGGATTCACATTTTATTAACAGACTCCTATGAAGAAAACTGAAGAACTTATTGGTCAGCATGGGATTAAATTTGACAACATGGTAAGTTGTCGACAGAATAGTAAAATTATCATATTATCAGGACATTAGTCTTAAGAAATCCCACATTCAGCTGTAGTGTAATAATTTATCATTAATATATAGTTGAAAATAAATAATTCCTTTAGACTTTTTCCTAGAAATGTATCATATTTTCTGGTACTCTATCAGATTGAAGGCCTGTTTATTTCTTGTTAGTCTAATTTCTGAGGAGATGGGGAGGCTGTGCCCAGGCTATTATCTTAATTACAAATAATAAGCCTTTAATTTACACAATTACACTATTTATTTCTTAACAGTTTGTTACAAGTCCCTTGTGCTGTCCAAGTCGATCAAGCATCCTGACTGGGCAGTATGTACACAACCATCATGCCAAGAACAACTCCTTGTCAGGTGGCTGTTCCAGTTCAAGTTGGCAACAGGGCCCAGAAAAACGTTCTATAAGTACGTACATGAAGAGTATGGGCTACAAAACGTTCTTTGGCGGCAAGTACTTAAATCGCTATGGTAACCCCCAAGTAGGGGGCCCACAGCATGTTCCACCAGGATGGGATGAATGGTACGGGTTGGTAGGAAACTCCAGATATTATAACTACACACTGTCAGTGAATGGCCAGCCAGAGAAACACGGAGACTCTTATGGCCCTGATTATCTTACAGATCTTCTGGTGAGTACATGCACGTCACTATTATATCCTCACCAGGAAGGGTATGCAGGAGGAGAAGGGCACTTCCTTTGGCCCATACCAGGACATGCCACTGGACAGGGTGTGGTCTTTTGGTGGCTTCTCTGTCCCAAGGTTGTCCTAAACAGGGTCTCTAAGTTTTGTAAACAAAACAAAAAGAGTGCTTATTTTTGTGATCACCCATAAACAGACTTGTAAATCATAGTTTCAGTTTGTTTATTCAGTGAAGGTGTAAAGTTGAGGATTCTTTTCTGTCCTAAACAGGATTTCAAACCCTCGGCAGTGTGCATACACGTATTTATGCCCAACCTTGGATGAAACCCACCCCCTAACTGGGCTGCCTAACTTCCCCGAGATGCAATTTCCATTTTTGACTACTTAATGTACCAGCATAACATTGGCATAGGAAGTTTTGTCCATTTTTGATTAGGTTCTGAATTGTTCATAAATTGCATTTAAAATCTCTTTATCCTAAAGTTACAGTTTTTCTTGAGTTTTAATACATATATTGTTACATCCAGATAATCCTGCAAATTAAAGACATTAAAGAGTACTGCAATAGGTATGGTTTATCTACCAGCTGTATTGTGCATTCTTGCAAACAGCTCTGAGCTCTTCCTTTCCTTTAGTTGCCTTAATTATGGTTTCTTATAATTATTATCTCTTTAGAAAAGAAAAGCTGTTGGTTTCATAAAGGATCAGTTTAAAGGGTCAACTCCTTTTTTTGTGATGGTTGCTACCCCTGCCTGCCACGCCCCTTTTACTCCTGCACCTCAATACAAGAACAACTTCAATTCCAGCAAGGCACCAAGAACACCTGCATTTAATGTGGCAGGGGGACCTGTAAGTGAACTTTTCTTTGAATTTTCCTTGTTTTGATACATTCAAAACCCAATTAAGGTCAGCACCTACAAGATCCACTTTTTTACCTCAGCTGACAGTGCATTTGTTCACTCTTGGTTAAACCTCTCCATAGCAGCCACTCCTCCATAGTGGCCACCAAACTTGTACCCTACAGCCAAAATGACCGCCATTCGCATAATGGCCATTTTTAATTTCAGCAATGTACACATTGATGTAATTTAATTGTACCAAACTTGCATTTTTGTTAAAATTGTTTAAAGCATTTGGTTTCTGATATATTGACATGCTTTGATCACTATGTCATACAAGGCATTTTGAAAATTAATAGAAATGCCCCCCCCCCCCAAAAAAAAAGAAAAAAAAATGAATGCAAAATAATTGTGTCATATTGCACCCCTGCCTCCCCACTGACTATTTTTGAATGGGAAGTTTCAGAACATATCCATACCCGCCTCCACGGAGGGTAAGGGCCAATTCCAAGGGAGGGGTGTCCAAAAGGATGCAATTTCCGAGGGAGTTGGGGGTGGTGGTTTCTTGAGGTCTTTTTCCTGGGGCTCTGAGTAAGACTGGTAAGTTATTAAAAACTAACAGCTGCTCTGTTGAGCAAGCTGGCAGTTATTTTACTGTTAACGGTCTTTTAAAACAAGAATTATTGTTTTGATTGATGATGTTTTTTATTAAAGGTCGGCTGAATGTTTTTTTTTCACGGCTTACGTACACGATAGGTAGTTGTCATTGGCTCTCATAAATAAACTTTAGGTTATCTTGCTGTAACAGTATTTCACAATACATATTGGTATTCACCGTAATGTGGTCGTGTTCTAAGCCTTCTTCTGACATGTTTTTAACTGAAAGGAAGCGATTGAAGTCCTCTCGGTGTTTAGTTACAGATGGCATCATTTGTATCGTGTATTGGTATCACCTTCCATGTTTCTCAGTGACTTACCGTCAATTATTAACTAAAAAAGACCTTTATAAGGCAAAATTGAGATTATTAGACAATTTACTACCATGAATAAAAGGATTTTTTCTCTCTTTATCGCAGAAACAAATATTAACTTTTGCATAATAGTATAGCACCACAGCATTTTTGACATATTAAAGTTTCTTTCCAGGTGAAGGGGTGCTCCGTGGGGGACGGGGGATAGTTATTTTCTGGAACTACACAATCCTTCATAGTACACTCTGTTTGTTTTTTAGATGGTCTTGGAAATAAGCAATCTGATATGCAAAATGTAGGAGACAAACAATGTATTATGAGCAGGAATTGGAAAATAGAGTAACAGGCCTGGCCACACTAATGGTGGCCGTGCCTGGGAACCAGTGCCTGGGTACCGGCATAAAATGGTGTTGTGTTCAGTGACACTTTGAGTACCCGATATGTGACTGTGTACGTAGTTACTCCATTTAGCCCTGTTGGATGCCATTTTGAAACATGAGCTTAGCAGCGAGAACAAAGCAGTGGACTGCACGGAACTTACAAAAGTTGTTTGCACACAGGGACCCGGTGCCCACTTTTGCAAGGTCTCGTCCTTGTACTCGAGCACAAAAGTGGAAACCGGGTAAAGTCGATAAAGACATTAACCTGCTCTCTCTTGCAGTATCTGTACTGTTTTAATTTCTTCCAATCAATAGACTAAACATTGGCTCATTAGAAGTGCTCCGCATCCCATGAAGGATTCCTCCATCCAAGCCTCAGATGACATCTTCAGAAACAGGTATGGACTCTCTCTTGAGCTTTAAGCTGGAACTACAGAGCGTTTTCACTCACGTGGCTGCAGCTATGTAACGCCATTCCACCTCAACAACACGGTGCGGAGCATTTGGATCCGCTTTTGAGTCTTGCCAATCTGTTTTTATGTACAGTCAAAAGCCTTTAATACGGACACTGAAGGTAACGAGGTGTTCATTTTGAGCGGTACTCCGAGTACTTTGGCCTCGGTAACCTGTTCTACCTTACTATCATTGACGGCTACATTAAGAGACTGAGATAATAAGGAATTAAGTTTTTGCGGGGATGAAACAAGCATAGATTTAGTTTTGGTAGCATTTAGGGCCATGCGATTAATATTTGCCCAGACCGACACTTCCGCCGCAAGCTGATTTAGGTTGCGTTCTACTAACTGTACGGAAGAGCCAGTAGTAAGGATCGTTGTATCGTCGGCAAACATTGTAAGACTTACATTAGAGATAGAAGACAGGTAGAAGGGCAGATCATTGATAAATATAAGAAAAAATAGAGGCCCGAGGATACTCCCCTGAGGGACCCCCACGGACATAGGTAGCGGATCAGACATAGAACCCTTAAAAGTAGTTTTCTGTGAGCGGTTGGTCAGGTAGGAGCAAAACCACTTGAGAGAAGACTCAGAGCAACCATACAGCTTAAGTTTGGAGAGTAAGGTAGTATGGTCTACTAAGTCAAAGGCCTTTTTTAGATCAATTAAAAGTAGACCCCTTAGAAGGCCCTGATCTATGTTTGCAAGTAAGGTATCAGTAAGGTTAACTACAGCAAGCTCGCAAGAACGAAAACATCGATCTAAAGCCAAACTGAGAATCAGTAAGAAGGTCATGACAAGTAAGAAAATCATAGAGATTTGAGTGGACGTGGCGTGGCGACAACGTGAACATATGACGACGAATTTCTCTCGGCTCTCTTTAAACTTGAATGTTTTTCTTAAGAATTCAAATCTGGAAAGTTTGCCTACTTTGGACAAAGTGAGCGAGTTGTGATGATCGCGCTGCAGTTTCAAAAACGTGAAGTCACTTTTTACGTGACGTTTTCGCCGCCGTCGTCGTTGTGGTACCTTAGACTCCCTAATGAGCCGGGGAACCCCTGCGAAGAAATTAGGGCGCCCTAGCATGTCTTTACGTGAGAGGGCTGGCCAGCCATGTCTCCGGTCAGGAAGCTCCGGTTTAACTTGACTTAGCCTAAATTTCATTTCGCCACATTTTATTTATTTATTTGTTTATTCATCCATTTATTTCAAGGTGGCGCACGCTGTTATCTGTTGATGATTTAGTCGAAGAGGTCATCACAACGCTGGATGCTGGAAAACTCTTGAACAATACGTACGTCATATTCTCATCGGATAACGGCTTTCATCTTGGTAAAGGTTACTTTATTCATATACTAATATGTATTTCGGTCAGTGCAAGAATTATCTCATTCTTTAACAGAGTGTTTTCACTCACGTGGCCAGCATATATGCAAATTTATTGGAAAAAAAGAAAACGTTTACATAAGAAAAGAGTTCAACTCTTAGGGCCTGTTTACATGGAGGTGGGGGACCCCAGGTAGGTGAGGTAACCCGCTTAGGTGGGGTAACCCGCCTGTCCATATAATCTCTCATTTTCATTTGATCACGTTTACATGATAGGTGGGGTGACCCGCCAAGGCGGGTAGCCCGGTATACCAGACCGGGTTACCCTCTCAGCCGGGGTCACAATTTGTCATGTAAACGTTTCAAGGTGGGGTAACCCGCCTGGCCGGGGTCGGATTCGTGATACATCAAATTCGCGCAAAATTCACTTTCGCGGTGTCTTTGCATTATGATTAAAGTTAACAATAGAAAGCTATTGCACTGACGGGTTGCAGCAAGAGCAACAAGTGAGAGAAAAAGTGCATTAATCGCCAAAACTCGTGGTTTGCCAGCATTTTTCTTGTTTACGTGCTTAGCGACCATTCAATAATCTTGAGAAAGTGCACCCCGGGAAGGCGGGGTTGTAAGATTGCATGTAAAGGCGGGTTATTTTTTTACCTCACCTAAGCGGGTTACCTCACCTACCTGGGGTCCCCCACCTCCATGTAAACAGGCCCTTAGAGGATTATATTGATTTGGGACACCAACATGGCCGCCGTGATGTCACGTGAAAACACTCTATAGCCTGCTTCAAGGGAGAGACCGCTGTCAGTTTCCTTCTTATAGTGACGAGTAAACAAAAGGAAAAAAACAATGAAATTAGAGTGTAATACTGCGTCGGTATTAGTCTACATCTATATTTCACGTGCTACGTAAAATGACTCTATAATACCATACGGTTGTTCGAAGGCCGATTAGCGCTAACCCAGGGTTACATTTTAACCTTGGTTTCCTTGTCTTTTATTCAAGGGCATTTTCCCGGATAATTTTCTCTATTCTTTTTAGAGCATCCAATCAATAAATTGTAAGCAAAAAGAATAAAACTGAATTTGCTTTTTAAGCTTTCAAATTTCGCACCAACGCTGGGTTATCTTATCCCTGCTTTGAACAACACGGCCCAGGAGAGGAGGTGTACGACAAATTGAAAAATTCGGGTCAGGACAGGGTGTGCAGCATCATGAAGCATCGTATTCTTCCGTCCCAAATTCAGACCAAAACGTTCGGTTTCCCAGGCTACCCTTTATTTCACAGCTAAACCGTCATTCTCCTCTTTATTTCTCAATTTTTACCTTTGTGTCCTCGCCGCAGGTCAGTTTAGTCTTCCTCAAGATAAGAGGCAGCTGTATGAGTTTGATGTCCGCGTGCCTTTCATGATCAGAGGTCCAGGGCTGAAGCCAAAGCAAACTTCACAGGTGAGCGTCAGGTCGAACTTACTACAGCTTATAAATGCTTACCTGGTTTCATCTCTTGTTTTGCCCGTAAGACTGATCTAGATCTGTTTTCGCTACATTAGGGAGCTTAAGCAACGACCACGGCGACGGCAACGACCACGGCGACGGCAACGAGAACGGCAAAAAACAAAACAACAACTTCATCAAGTATCACGCTTTTTTGTACATTTCTTTGCCGTCATTGCATGATTACGACGTGAAACTGCCTCATTTCACGTTTTTTGGCGGACGTGAACACAAGACGTCGACTTTTTTTTCCTGAACTTCGATACAAACTCAGTTTAGAATTTAACTCCAGAAAAATTTGCCAACATTTGACGAATTGAACGAGGTGGAATAAACGTGATAAATTTTGCTTAAGCTCCCTAGTTATTAGGGAGCTTAAGCAACTACGACGACGACCACAACGACGACTTCAAACAAACAATAGGTTTAATGATCAAAACAACAGCTCTGTACGGTTTTTAGTACATTTCTTTGACGTCCACCGCACGACTACGACGTTTTATGGAGGACGTGGACATACAACGACGAATTTTCCTTCCTCTTTTGAACTTGAATAAAATCCTTAAGAACTGAACTCCAGGAAAAGTCGCCTACATTTGACATATTGAGCGGGTGCAAATAGACGCGATGAAGTTTGAAAGAACGCAAATTCATTTTTTTTACCGACGTTTCCACGGCCGTCGTCGTCCTTGCTTAAGGCCCCTATTGACATACAGAGGACTCTTTCCTTATGGAAACCTCTCTATAACTGACGGCTTGTTTAATTCAAAAGATGCCAACCTTCATATAATTCCTCCCTTTGTATTGAGGATAATGGCTCTGTCCCATTGGTGTCGGGCGTCTTCGTCACTGTTTTTCGCGTTTTCTTTGCCAAACCTAGCAAATGCGAATGGTCACACCCCAGTCAGGTGTTCCTCTGTCTTGGCCTCACTTTCAGTTGAACTGTCACTCGATTAAAGCCTTCTGGGGTCAGATGTTGGAGGACACTTGAGCTTTGGGGCCCTTTTTGTGGGCTTGTATTCTCTCTTGGCATAACAAAGGTTCTTTTCTTACAGAGTCCAATTCTCAACATTGATATAGCGCCGACAATAGTGGAATTGGCTGGAGGAAAGGCCCCCGAATCCATGGACGGACGCTCGATTTTACCTCTTTTGGTATGTTCTTTTGAACCTTTGTTTACATTTTTTTTTCTCCTCGTTTTGTTGTTGTTGTCATTTGGCGTTGTTTAAGGGCGCTTCCCAAAAGTCAGAACTGGCCAGCCAGAGCGGTCATTTTGAAAATGAAATATTAGTATTTTCTCGGAATTTGTGCTAAAACTCACCACTACGGTGCATGCTATGGAGTATTTTCACTCACGTGGCCAGCATCTATGCTAATTTATTGGAACAAAAGAAAGCGTGTTCATAAGAAAAAAGTTTAACCCCCGGAGGATTTCCCGGGTACACTACTGAAAATGGCCGCCGTTTCACTGTTTTGGAACACCAGAATGGCCACAGTGACGTCATGTGAAAACGCTCTATTTGAGAATAAACTGACCTGGCCTGATAGTGCTGGTTAATAGAGACCTTTAGCATCAGGTTTTTGGGGGGAAACCGCAAACCGCAAACTGCGATCTGCAGTTTGCAGTTACGCGTTTGCCGTTTCACTCTTTCAGGATTTCGAATTTTGGCAAATTATAAAGCCTTCGTTGTTTAGTGCCGCCATGTTGATTTTCGTCACGTCGTAGTGCTTGTTTTTTATCGCCTGATTCGAGTTCAAAAATCTAACTGGCATATCATAGGCGGGTGTAGAAGCATCTCTTGCCTTAAATCGTGAGTGAATTAATAACACTGCTTTAGAGCCAATCGGAAAGTTTACTGGTGATATTTCAAAATGGACGAACAAATAATGTAACAGAATTTTCTTTCGTCTGATTCTGTTGTATTGAATTATCATTACAATAGTTTAATGCTGAACTCAGGGCTCCTGATAGTCAGTGGGATTGAGGATTTTGTTATAGTTACAGTATGATGGGGACTCCTATAGCCAATCAGATTCGAACGATTTTGTTATTGTTATCATGGGGACTGCGTATAGCCAATCAGATGCGAAGAAGTCTGTAATAGTTATGATGGAGACTGCCCCTAGCCAATCAGATTCGAAAACAGTTTTGTTTTAGTTGTGAATACACGCATTCACTTTTGTTTCAGAAGTCGGATGTTGAGTTCCAACAGCAAGAGGTGAGTTTAAGAAAAACTTTTAGTTCCTTTAGAGTGTTTTATTCCTATAGAACGTATACTGCATGTTTGTTTAAGCTCTCTACAGATAGTCTTCATTTGCACACTACAGATTCTCTCCTTAAAATGTTTACGGACAGAGGTAGTTTAAAACGAACGCAACAATCACGCGATACGCAAGTTTCGAATTAACGAAAGCATACTTGGGTCCAGGGCCGAAGGGTGTAAAACAAAAGAAACTGATTATTCATCCTTGAATCTCAATGCAGTTTTCGGAGCCAAGCACCAGGTTTTATAGTTCGAGACTGGCCTATTGCTTTGCTTCTTGCTACCTGCTGTGCCACAGTGTCCTCAAAGCGTACCACAGCCATCCATGAATTTCCACCACCTCTCCAGTCACAGCACTGCTAAATCAAGTAGCCTGTGTGGTAGGCGCGGGGAGGGGAGGAGGAGAAGACAGCGAACGGAAGAGGGAGTCCCTCTTCCTCTCTCTCCAATAGTGAGTGTTCATTGAAACAAAATCATTACAGCAATACATTGTACATATAAGGCTGAATTACAGAGCTACATACAATATCGTAAAATACTGCAAATTCCGAAAATAAGCCCCGGGCCTTGCTTGCCCCCTATGCGTCTCAAAATCCATTGTGCTAGCTTATAGTTGGAAGGGAACTTATGTGAGTAATACGCCTTAAGGACGCAGGTCTTTCTAAAACTCAGCCATGCAAGTACTTTGTCTATATGGACCAGGGAAATCCAATACGAGACTGAAGGGTGAACTACGCAAACTGCAATATATGCTGTGACGCGTTTTTGTAGCAGTCATTTGGCACATGTAATAGTTCTTTAACAAATGCAAAAAATTATGTGTTACTGTAAAGATTTTGCTTTGTTTTATTTTGAATTTGAGGGCAATTCCCCAGTACAGGCCCCCAGGGGCTTGTATTTGGAGGGGCGATTTATCGGAAGGTTTCTTGCGTTACGTCCTCCCCTACCCCTTTCGACGCCTACAACGCAGACTACAAATCGAGCCAATGTAATGTTTATCGGCTATCGTACCGACGCAGTAGTAGAAAGCTCGAGGAAGCAAAAAAGCTGAAATTATACTGAAAGTATCATTTGCTTGCTTCTTGTTCAGGATGTAGCTTGGCGTACAGATTTTCTTATTCAGCATTACGGGGAAGGTGAAGTAAAGATTCCAGGATGTCCAGAACTTTCTTCAGGCGTCTATGTAAGTCTTTTTATATAAATTTATCTGATCTTAGTTATTCTGTTTTGATTACCTGAAGTAAGTTGCCCCGCTCTTCTGACTGAGTCTTCAGAGAGGTGTAATAATTTCTCGTTATGTTTACGACAAACAGCAGAGATGACTCTATGATTACAAGTGTACCACAACAGTAAATAACAATAAATGTCCCTCAAGTTTTCATGACGCTCATTCTCACGTTGAAAAGATCACAAGGCAAAAAACAATTCGTCATGCGATTAATCATAGGCCCGGGGGGAACTCCCATGCGAAAGGGGCGGGGATGGTCGCCGGAAATTTTGAATTAAACCCCTAAAGGAGACCAATCTGGGCGTGGCCCAAAGCGATCATTTTAAACTTTGATTACATGAATCGACTAAATAGAACGAATTGAAAATGTATAATTTTTTAATATTTATCCGAGTGCAACCCTGAAAGAGACCTTTACGGCTAAATATAATGGTGTTTTGCTCAGAACAAACTAAGCGAGACCAAAATCTGAAATTTACGCCCCTAAGCGAGACGACGAGCATCCCCGCCCCTTTCATATGGGATCCCCCCCCCGGAATTATAAGGACGTTTGATACGTTTGACAATTATTGAGTAAGGATGAGTATGATATGAAGAATTAAGCAGATCGAGGGAAACCTAGGTCAGGGTTATGGTTTCCTGCCTAGTTGGATAACAGCCTCTGAGTTTTCAAGATCTGCAAAAGCAATTCTTCACATCATACAAAATCCCGCCGAATTCAATAATTGTTTTATTATCCATTCAAAATATTTTTAAGTTCTAAACAACCTTACCTCCTCCAGCGTAGACTTTCCCCAAACATTTGCCTGTTTCTTGGCACTTTTCGCACGGCAGTGTTATTGCATTTCTGAGGCTACGAGCAATAACCTGTCGAATGGATAGCCTGTGTAGCAGGCGCTTGGAAGTAGTGGGCGAAACAGAGAACGGGCGCGCGAGAGGGATACACGCGAGGAGTGATTGCTCCCTCTCCCCTCGCGTGTCTCCTCGCGCGCCCGTTTTTTCTTGTGTCCACTACTTCTAAGCGCCTGCTGCGCAGGCTATCGAATGGATGGGTTATTGCCTACATTATCCAAATGTCGTAAGCGCTGGCTGGTTGTGAAGAGTAAGCCGGGGAGCCAGTGAGAAACGACGAAATATTTTGAGTGAATAATAATTACAATTTTCTTGTTGTCTACTCCCCCTCGGCGAGTTGTCACTTAAGCCAGTTGAGTTACTACCTTTGTTTGCTTTTCTTTGCAGAACTGTTGGCCCAACTGTGTTTGTGAGGACGCTTGGAACAACACATACTCGTGCGTTCGCTCAGTGAGTTCGAAGGAGGACATGATGTACTGCGAGTTCGCGGACAAAGAGGTAACCTCCTCCTTCCAATTTAAAGTGAAAAGATGACTGCCGAGTGCGTGATACAAGCAACTGCACATGAATTCCGTCCATGCCAGCAAATACACTAACTTAAAATCAAACCACGTACGGTTTTTGTTGTTGAGAAGTTACGCACGCAGCCTGTCTTCCCCTTAGAAAAATAGAATGAGGCTTCTTTGACGACGTTTATAGAGGGCAGACGTATAGTGTCCAGTCCTACGCAGCCGTTCAAAGAACGACTGTGTCGTCACTTGATTCCATCCACCAAACTGACATCCTCCTCTCACAAGACATTTCACTTTTCTTATATGAAATTTCTTGATGAAATGTTCATAAAAGTCAAAGTGTCTTCAATTTTTAAGGAAAAAAACAATTCAGGATAGAATGAGTAGGATTCGGACTCGGAGCATCCCATCTGGACTGCATCACTCTAACCCCTACACCACCGAGGATTTGGTGACGAATACCAGTTTGATTTAAATATATAACCCTAACCCTAACCCTACTTTGTGTACGAATCATTAATGTGTCAACGTCAGTTTGGCGGATGGAATTAAGTGTAGACCCTGTGACTAGGTAGAGTAAGAGTGGTTGTAGGAAGGCCACTTGACTAGATTCCTCTCCCCAGCTCTTCTTATCTTTTGAGCTTTGTCTTTTTGTTTCACTTAAGTCTTTTTATCCAGAACGTTTTGTTTGCGTGCTAGGCAAACAGAGGAAACTTCACAACGGTCAGCCGACTACCGATCTTCGAAGTTAATATTACGCTTAGGATTGGCTGCTCAATTATCCTTTGGTATTTTGAAGGGTAGCACATGTACATACAGAACACACACAGTATACCTATGTAATCGTTAGCAGTGATGGTGTTGTCATGTTTGATCTTATTTCACTCATTTTTTCCTGAACTTTAGGCATTTTTGGAGCTCTACGATGTAAAGAAAGACCGTCATCAACTAAAGAACTTGAACAAAGATGTTCCGCCTAAATTTCTGGAAGCCAAGCATCGTCGCTTGGTGGATTTGGCGACATGTTCAGGGGCCTCATGTAGGAAAGTCTATCAAGACAGCGTGGATACTTTGCTTTGAAAAGAGTTCCTCCATATGCCATTTAACTCTCGACGCGAGGTGTTGTAGTTGGGGGTGTGTGTGTGTTGGGGGGGGGGGGGTTAGGGGCTGGGTGATTTCGTTTTTAGTTTGGGCCAAAATTTTTTTGCAAGCCTACAACTTTGATCGAATTTTTTGGTGTTGATATGGGGTTATGAATTGTCTGTCCAGTTTCGTTCCAGGTTTGCAGGATATTTCTTTTCGAAATCACTGGTTAAATAGCCGACCCCTTAACATTGTTGTATTACAAGTTCAGAGAAACCAGATTAATTTAGACCGCAAAGGAACAAAGAAACCGTGCGTATGAAAAACAACGGTCATTTTAACGTTTTTTTCGGCCTGTTTTAATACTACATGCTCAAATACGCTAATTTTCTCTCTGCTCTTCCCCCGCTCCCCACTCCCTTCGACGTAGCTCCACATTTCCCAACCTCGTCCCCAGGGCTTTTCCCACCCATTTTTTAAGGGAAAAGCCCTGGGGACGAGGTTGCACATTTCCCACAATACAGCTCTTACCCGTCCCCAACCCGCAATAAATAAGCTTTCATTCTTCGACGACTGTAATACCCGAAAGAAGTTGGAAACAATGTTTTTGCAAAATTTTGGAAGGGATATATACAAGGTGTATTTTCAGGGACTATACGAAAATGGGGAATACCAAATGTTGTTAGGTCCTAGTGCTCCAACATGTTAAAGAATAGAATTTGGGGCTCTTAGAAAAAAGATGTTAGGGGGCTGTACACTGCTGCCTGAATGACAGACCTTGACGGGGGGAGGGACTCCCTATAATGGTCTATACGGAGAGGCTTTGCCCGAATAAGTCATCTCTTTCAGGCTTTAGGTTTATAAAAGGGTGGGAATACTGATAGGGATTTCAGGAGTTGAAGTATATGAAAGGGTAGGGGAATTTGTTATTTCGGGTATTTTGTTTTATTTTTTATTTTATTTCTTATTACGCCCAGGAACAAGAGGTCTTTATCATCGCCATCATCAACATCATCATCTTAATCATTTTAGTTTAAAAAATGCAAGATGTTTTTGGTTATAAAAGAAACGCACCCTAAGGAAACTCTCCGTTGTAGGAGCCCGAGCTCTTAGAACGCAACCTGACTTTTTTTTATTTAATTTGATTTTATATTACCAAGCAATCATTTTTAAAAACTAATAGTTCATCAAGAATCGCCACCCAAAAGGGCAATAAGGAGAAGTAAAAACAAAAAAAGCTTGGATTATTATACTAGAGTTTAATATATAATAAGTGATAAAAACGGTTGGGTTCAATGTATTCAATAAAAAATTGGTCCAATCTTCTGGCAATTTTGGTCCCTCTGTGTGTTTTTTGATCTGTGTGTGTGGGACAGTAAAAACGGCGGCTCTATTAAGTAGAGTGATGTGGAACCTTACATGTTCGCGCGCTTGCCACGCAGCAGTATTTTTCCGCACGTCAATCGGAAGTACGGCCTTCTACCCTTTTACCAAGTTTGTATTGCTAAATGTCTTTACGCTTAGTTTATACAGACGATTTGCCCGAAATTTTCGGCGAGAGTGCAAAAAGTCCACTTCCGGTTGACATGCGTCGCTCAAAAACGTCGTTGCTTAAACTGTGGGCTTGAAGACGTTTGACCCGTCTTTTCTCCCTATCCATCTTACTGCCCCTGGGTCTATCGAAAAGCAGAAGGGCACGTGAGGGACGGGCGTGTTCTCCTTCCCTCTTCCACGCGCCTCGATTTCCTTTTTCTCTTCTAATGCCCTCTAACTCAGGATAACAACTGTACGAAGTAAAATTTCTACGTCGAAATTCTTTCACAGAAAGAGGTCACAGTTTCAAAATAGACATAACTTCGGTGCTTCGTCGATGGGACCACTGTGATGAGATTCAAAAGCTGGTGTTTCTAGCGTTTTCCAACAAGCCGCGAAAAGTCAGATCTCATTAAATCAGAATCTTCATTAGAACATAAGTCCGCCAAAAAATTAAATACCCCTATTGCTTTGTTTTTTTGTTTTCCCATCCATTTTGGGTTCTTTAAGCTCCGCTTAAACACTGCGTCACTCGTCAACAAGAACCGACACGAAAATGTGACCCAACATCCGGTCAAATATGATACGAAATGCGGAAAATTTGTTTTGGATAGATCAGAAAACTAAATTTAAAACTTAATTGAAATTTGCATGACACGAGTTAATCGTAATCCACACTAATTTTTGTCCTTTTTTTAATGTTTTTTACTTTGTTACTTTTGTTGTTCGCTTTATCGCGAAATAGAGACAACAACACATCGACGCTCCCCACTCCATTCCAATTCCCCTTACCCGACCCCTGTAACCGGAATTTTCTCTGTGACGAGCTCCAGCGTATCACTTTACACACCAACAAACATGGCGGGCTGCATTCCACAGACGATTGTAAAGTTTCAGTTACATTTACAAGCGATTGGATCCCTTAGTACACAAGACTTCCTCTCGAATCTCATCATTTTCAGCCCTTATGGTAAATGAAGAGAGAAACGCAAGGGATAAACAGCCAGCGAAACCTTTGCCAAACTGGTTAATTTTACGAGTATTGCTCATTTTTGAACGTGCCATATTTTGGTTTCTATATTCATTCACCATGATGGAAAACGACGAGGTCTTCGTCAACAACCGACACAAACCAAGAAGTCCGAACTCTCCAAAGAGCCCTAAGGAATTTAGAACGCTTATGAACTCAGATCATAAAGACAGAACTAGAGCAACTTCTGTACCCCATATGTCTGCTGTACCCGCAAAACATTCACCGAGCTCTTTCAACCCCGTCAAAGACTTTATTGCAAATTTCGTCAACTTTAAAGGACCGAAGAAACGTGCTTCAATAAAACGCTCTGTCACAACAGAGAACGTGACCGATGAAAAAGCTCCTGTTAGACATGTTGGAAGGGGACATTCATTTTTACCCTGTCATTTACGAAATCCTACCTGGTGTGATTGTTGTGGTGAATTTATTTGGGGACTATTCAAGCAATGTGTACGCTGCAAAAGTGAGTGAAACGGGCTTGTTTTTTTGTAATTTTGGACGCTTAATTAACAGGCTTATATCTGTCTATCTGTTTAAAACTCTGATTAGAAGGGCTAGATTTAACTTGTCTCGTACAAACCGGTAGTAGCTCTGTGTTTTTTGGAGAGTTTTGTTTTCAGAATCGAGAATAATTTCACGGTTTTTGAAGACGTGGCTATTATCAGGGGAGTGAAATAAAAGCTTGAGCCTAATATCACTTGGTATTCATATTCCCATTTTTATAAGTCCAGTATTTAAATTGTGGGATCAAAAGTCACACCTCCAGTTGATCAAAAGAGATATATCTACAGGAAATGCAATTCTCAAGCTTTTAACATTATGATTACCTGTTTAAATTGTCTGAATTTTCTTAAATCTGGCCTCAGAGTTGGGAAAAATATAATATTTTTTTACCACTCAGAATTGTTACTCAATATTCTCATGTTTTTACCGTTTGCTTTTTATTTCAGTTTATTTTTAGAAAATGTTATTTATTATAGGACCAGCATACAGTGTAGCTCTCCAGCAACCATGATTTTACTTCAATTTAATATCCAACTTGTTTAATTATTAATGAATGGAATGCGACTGATTCTCTGAAGTCTCAGCAGCAAATATGGGCTTCAATTACATAAGGACAAACAATATTACTCTCCAGATTGCCTGTGTACTCTCTAAGAATTGTTTTCTTAAAGAATACATGTAATCCAGGTTGTGATGAAGTTAGAGTCACAAGCAAAACTGAAAGAATAACCAAGAAAATGTTCCATTCTAGACACTGGGCAATCTAGATTAGAATCATACGAAGTGAAAATGTTTGTGATTCTTTCGTCTTGTTGATGTGATTTGCCTTGGGTGTTATTTGTTTAATAGACCTATTCAGCTAACTCAGTGTTGTACCCAATTCATACCCTTTGGGAATAAAACGTTTTGTTTCAGGAATTTTTATATCATTTAAATGAGAATACCATATTATAATGCAAATACAAGACACAGAGAATTTTAACCCCGAGAGATTTGAATTGGGTACAACATTGAGTTAGCCGAATAGGTGTATTAAACATTTTATATTTTCACTACTCCTAGATTGTAGATGCTCTTATAAGAGTATGATTATAAAGACCTATTTTCTTACTATGCTGGATAGCTCTTGCACTGGACAGCATGCAAAAACCTAGACTGCGAGCAGGCGCTGAAAAATTTTACTTTTTTTAAATCCGGTAAGATTGCCTTGAATTCCTTTCCCTTAAGTGATTACCGCCAGGTTCGTAATTGTTCGCAGTTAGTTGTGACGCGTGACTATTTTTATTGCTTGTATCTCCACCACGGACCAGTCAGTGATCTGTTGACAGCTGTAAAATTGACCAATCGGTTACTCCTTTTCTGGGCTGACGGAGGGTTTGTTTACTATAAAAGAGTCCGCAGTCCATCTTTTCTCGTCTGGTCCTAATCCCTTATTGTAACGTAACGTCGTGGTTTGCAATCGCACTGGCTGAGATAAGAACTAGATGGATTTTAGAGAAAAGGCGGACTGCAAGCAGTTTAGCAAAACCACACTGGATAGGGCTTCTGTTTGGATATTAAAACAATGATTTTGGCGTGATTTCTGAAACAGAGCAAAATTGTAGGGCATTAGAGCATTACATATCAGATACTGGTAGGTTCTGTGCGACAGTTTGCGGCAGTCTAGCTGAACACTCAGGTATTTGGACCGTACACTGTAGCCAAAGTGAATAAAATTAGTAGGAACAAGCACTGGAATTCACTGGGATGGAAATAAATTCTAAGGAGTGAGGACTGGGCTTGAATTAAGCTCACCAAACCTTCTTGGGTAACTGCTCTGGCACGATGTTGGATGTGTCTGTGCCATTGCTGTCCCCAGCAGGTACAAAATGCATGTCACAGGTCACTTGTGGAGGATAAACTACAGGCCCCAGTTGTTTAAAAGGTGGATAACAGTTATCCATTATCCATTATCCAGTGGATAACGCAATTGGTTTCCCAATTACTTATCAACTCTCGCTCTGCATGAAAAGCTATCGGGGGTTATTAATGTGAACAACTTGGCCTGAATCTTTGGCTACTGCCATTAACAAAAGCCTACAAATGTATGATTGTACACTGTACATTAGTCACTATTATTGTGATTGTTAAAATTAATGTAAATTGTGACCTCTCCCACAAAAACGTTCCTTAGGAATGAACAAATGGCAAGCGAACGCACGGCAAGCGTATTGAAGAGAAACAGAGAGCCAAGCAGTTCAAAACAAATTTAAACCAGAAAAAAAATTGAACTACAACAGATACACGGCTGACTGCTGATGGAAATTTTTGAATGGATGCAATCAAATGATGTAAAACCATCCAATGCGAAGGGATGCAAATTTTTTTTTGCTTGGATAGCCCAGGCCGTTCGAACGATTGGGCCGCCCGATTCGTTCGAATGGCTAATGCATGGCATACAAATGGCTCTCCATTGGAAACCGCAAACCACAAGGAACGTTTTTGCACGAGAGGTCACAATTTTATTTTTGTTGTATTCTTTCCTGTTACCTTTAAATCCTGCTGACATTGTTGTTTGGATAAAAATCTGCCTGTTTTCAAGTGTCCTGATTATTATTTTTTTGCCTTCCAGACTGTAAGTACACTTGCCACAAGAGGTGTCAAGAACTGGTTGATTTGGATTGCACAGGGGGCTGGCAGTTGGGAAGAATGAACTCTGTTGATGAAATGACAATGAAAACTCTTCATCTTATAGACCAGGTAATGTGTGACTGTAGATTCACTGTCCTTAGAAATAATAATGTCAGTGCATTAAAGAAAGGATTCAAACTGGTCTTTTGTCGAAAAAATCTGAAAATTATGAACTTAGCCAAAATAATTTTGCATGGAGTTCTCAATTGATGGGATATTAAGCATGCCAAATAAAAGAAAGAGAAAGATTGTGAGTGCAATTTGTCACACGTGATATTAATAGGTAATAAATAATTTATTGGTATACTCACTTGCATTAATATAAAGGCAAGGAAAAGTATTAGACAAAACACATCAAGGCTGTGCTCTTAGGAGAATTCAAGGGTGCCCAGAGTTCTGAACCTGTAAAATCTAGGGTGCCCGGCCTATGATTTGTGTGAAAAATCTGAGATTTTCTAGTCGCCCAGGAGCAAAAGTTGGGCACCAGGGGCCACCAGGCTCTGCTAGAGTACAGCCCTGCACATGTGAAATTATTACAGTCAAAGCTCTCATAAGCGACCACCTTGGAAATTTGAGAAAGTGGTTGTAACTAATATAGAGCTGGTGGCTTATGATAATGAGCTCTCTTAACGTTTCAAGAAGTTAATGCAAATTTTTGAAATTCACGTTAATTTCCTGAAGTGTTTATTTTCTGTAGTAAGCTACACACATATTATATCAGTTTACTTTTCAGTAATACCACTTTTGAAATATCTAAAATTACATTTTTAGGGTGAGAAGAGAAAAGAGCCCTTCATGCTGCACTCAGAATCTCCCAAAGGAACACTTCTTCGGAAAAAAATTGAAGAATTCAATTCAACAACAACTGGTCTTATAATGACTATGGTAAGAACAAATAATATTCACCTGTTGTTAAATCAGAATAATGATCTGTCTCTAGTTAATAAATAATAATTTCTAAGAATCTGATGTCAGTCCAATTTTGAAGAAGTGAAGATAGTAAGCACACGCACCAAAAAGATAACTTTTTATAAAACTAAATATATTATGTCTTACAGATTGCATGTCAACAGATTTCTGTGACCGAAAGTCACACAACTGTAACAAATTCTCTCTCCAATGCCTGTATAGATGCTACACAGGGTTTGCACAGGTTAAATTTATATGGAAAACCTGCCTGGAAAGTCATGAAACAGTAAGAATTTCACTTTTCAGGTCTGGATTGAAATTATTATAATAATAATAATTGGTCCTAGAAATTCATGGACTCAGAATTTTTTCCTTTTTTCCATGCTCATGACATGTTGATCACATTATCTCTCACTTCTTCACCGAGCTTTGAATTTACCATCATCCTTTATTTATCATACACATGATGATTTTTCCATTGCTGATCCTAGCAGTACACAGGACACATTTTATACATTGATCAAGCACACCTTGTATGTAACCCAGCTTGCCTCAAATCCTTCAAAGCTCACTGGTTAGAGCATCTGACCAGTGTGCAGAAGGTCATAGGTTCAATTCCTGTCAGGGACTCAGACGTTTTCTTTGTCCCATGCTTGTGACATGTTGATCACATCATTTCTCATGGAAAATTATAGTTATGTTTGGTAGATTAGTTACTGAAGATGTCAAAGCATGGACGATGTAAGAATTAGATAGAGACAAGAAATAAGCAGTGTGAGCGCCGTACATTTTGGCAAACAACAGAGGAGGAGAGTTTTGAAGATTTTTGAAAGTGACACTGAAACCTAATGTCATGGAAAGCTAGAAAAGGCCATGGAAAGTCAGTGAATCTGTAGAGCTCAAAAGAGTATGAACCCTGGTTACATCATGGATATTACAACCCATATTGACATAATATTGACAGCTTAATGTATTCAATGTTACAATGAATTTAAAAAAGAACATTATTTTACTAGAGGGGTTTTCTTGCCATGCATACCAATATTGACAGCTTAATGTATTCAATGTTACAATGAATTTACATTTTACTAGAGGGGTTTAGATGCATACCAAGGCTTTATACGGGTACACATGAACCTAATACGCCCAATCAACATCATCGCAGGGGAGAGACCACTGTCAATATTCGAGACAGTCGGAGGACAGAAAGAAGATGACCAAAAGGTCAGTGCATAGTCATGTGTTTACTATGTGTAGTTTATGTGACTTTGCTTTGTTCCTTGCAATTAACAGGGCAATTTGTACAGTCTTATCCTGCAAAAGTACTGGTGTACCCATTTAATTGATAGAAGTGTGTTGATTGTTATTTGACTTACTATTTTTGTCGTTTAGAAAACTCAGCGCACCTCATTTTTCCTTCCGCTTGGAACAGTGAAAGCACTACATGTGACAAGTGAAACTACAGTTCATGAGGTAATTCCATTGAAACATGGCTTTAGAGTTGAGTTTATACACTATAAAGTTGCCCAGATAAGGGCCGGTCTTGGGGTTTTTAAATAACTGAGAAGAAAGTGCTGCCTTTGTAAAGACATCTGAAAATAGTTAACATTAATTTTTTCAAAAAAGAATTAATTAAAATTATGATAATATTGTGGACTATTCAAAATGTTGGTAAATTAAATGATGCATGCATTACCTTTTAGAAGTGAAAAAAAAAAGTGCTGTAGGTGCAGGGCTGTCACTAAGAGCTGGGGCCTGATTTTCCCCGGCCACCTTTTATGAACATGGTCCTTGGCTACTTTAATATTAATAAGAAATTCAAGGAAAATACAGTGTAAAACCAAAAAAATTTACTAGCAGTTCAATTCTCCACCACAAATAATACCTAGCAACTTGAAGTCTTGGCAACAGCCTTGTAAGTGTCAAAATGAAAGAAAAAAAATCTCATGGTGAGCTCTACCAATCTGGGCTACTATAAACTGCCACTTAACCCTTTAAGCCCCAATATCCACAAGCAAATTCTCCAAACTGATCTCCATACATTTCTTTAAAAAATACATTGAGAGAATTTGAGAAAAGATCAAAGCATTTTCTCTTTGGTGATCATTTAATTAATTCTCAAAACCTAATCTCTTGACATTGTACGGATATCGTTTAATAGGAGAAAATTGATGTTGGTCACTATTGGAACTTAAAGGGTTAAATATATTGGGTTTTAGGAGGGCTTATAAATAGAGGGGCCCACATCTGAGGGGGCTTAACACTGAAATAGAAAAATTGTTTCAAAACAAGCTAGCAGTGCTGATCGATCAAAATACATTGTGCAGATACTGTTGGGTGTTTTTTTCTTAACGAAGCATCAAAACATCATATGGTAATAAATCATTCATTCCAATACGCTGCAATTAGAACTAGCTTGAGGGGGCTTAATTATTATTGGATATAACAGGAGTAAAATACTAAAACTAGACAGCGTTTTTCGAATGCTGTGATTGGCTGCTCAAACTTGGGATATCCAGTAGTGCTATATTCACCTGCAAGCGAAAGCCAAACTCACATAGGTTACAAGCAAAATGGCTTCCCAGTTTTCTGCCATAACAAATGAAGAAAGGTCACAAAATAATCAAAGAAACGGTTCCCCCAAAACATGAACAAGGCAATGAAATTCAGTTTGAAAGTTTTTAATACAGGTAAAGCTTTGTTTGTTTCAACTATAAATTTATCTATGAAACTGTGGAAAAGGGTTTTTTTTTACAAAATAATGCAAATTAAGTCTTACATTACTTTTTTTAGCTGACATGTTAATGAATAAGCTCAAAACTGGTTTTTTTAGAGAATGGTTTCAAGTGCAGAAGGAATTCACAACTCTTTCCCACAAGAGCTAAACAAATGCCTTTAAAAGTTTTATTTGTTGGCAAGAAAACGGGATTGCTGTTAGGTCATTTGTGTGCCAAAATTGTAAAAGTTAGCTGCATAATGAGTAAAAAATCATCATAATGAGCTTTTTTTCAGATAATATGAAAGGCCAATTCAATAATCGTTTTATTATTCATTCAAAATATTTCCTAGTTTAAAAACAAGCTAAAACATGCTACCTCCATTGATGTTAAGTTCATCTTCGATAGTGCATGTTTATCGGCAAGTGTAGGAGATAAAGGGTTGTTCAGTTCTGCAAATGTTCTCGAAATTAAGCAGATGTCATCCATCGAGTTGTCTTCTTGTTGTTCTGCTGTGTATTTAGCCAATAGTTTGCCTATTTCTTCCTTGTGTAACAAGTGAAATGTTCCACCATTTTTGTAACACCACCAAAACAACTCAACCTCATCCCCAGGTCTTCTCGGTTAACGGTTCAATAATCTGGCAATTTTGCTGCATGGTTGACATCATCAGTTCACATATTACAAAATTCTTCCAAATTTGGTCAACAATAGTTGGTAATGATGAATCATGCATAGCATTTTTAAGGGCAGATCTAGGGAGGGTACAGGGGTACACCCCCCGAGATGAACTGCGGTTTTCTAATACAACTGGTATTCTACAAAAAAAAAAACTATGTGGTTTATTGGTGTTGAAGTAGAGCAAGAGAAGAGTGCACCCCCTCAGAAAAAAATTCCTGGATACGCCCCTGGTTTTAGCCAATCAGATACCGAGAAATATTTTGAATGAATAATAGTATAATTGTGATGTATTTTTTGGGGGAGCCTATAACTGGGAGGAGAGTTGTGAGTTGTGACTTTGATGTACATAGTATCCTTAAGCTTTTGTTTTGTCTTTGAAGGTGATTGTGGCTCTCTTGAAGAAATTTAAGGTGGCTGACAATCCAAGAAAATTTGCATTGTTTGAGTGTTACCAAGAAGAAGATAATCATAGTAAGATATTTTCCCCATGTTGATAATTTTTGATAAGCATGCAAACAAGAAATACTAATTTATTTTATGTGTAATCTCCTACATACATTAGAATGTAAAAAATAATGTTGTGTACTAAAAGAAAACGCACACCTCTATTAATTCAGCATTGAAATTGTGTACTTCTTTTGTCATAAGTCTTTAACTTACTTAAAGACATGAATTTATAAGTTTCATTAATTAGTAATATACATGAATGTAACTTCATTTTCAATATTTTTGTTGTTTCCATTGGTTAGTTCTTTTAAGCTTGCTGATCAGTGCTAAAGGCTCTGTTGCATAATTTATAGCAAGTTTTACATGTACAGTATGTAAGTAGGTATGAGCAGTGTGTAATACCGGTGTAGTAAGTATTGCTAAAGATAATGTCAGTATTATTGCTTTTTCCATTATACCAATAAATTATTGATATTAACCCTTTCCTGTCCTTCCTGGACCATGCTATGGAAAGATATATGGTCACCCTAAAAACTCCAAATTATTGTGGGATTTTATAAAAGAAATTTGATCTTTGGAGATTTTTTTCCTTTAGTCACTTTTAGAAGTCCCCGCATGCCTAAACCTAACCCCGAATATCACATTATAATTTTGTGCTTTGCAGTGATCCTTCGCCGGATGTCTGACTTAGAAAAGCCACTGGTGCTTAGATTACTCTGGGGTGGAGCTGATCTCAGGCATACCTTTTCACTTCAGGAAAATGAAACTGGAGATATCATTGTAAGTGATAAATCTTTAAACTGAATCTTTTGGAATCCTCTGTAATAATATTATTAATCTTGCCTAGTCTTTTTCTTATCAACAAACAAATTAATAAATGGTTTCATACCGACATTACATTTAAACATAATAGTACACGATTTTAGTGACCTACAAAAAGTTCAAATTCCAAGGCTACAGTAACCATATTCCGGATCAAACTGAAATTTAGAATGTGTTATTTGTCCAAAAAGAGGGAAAAACTGGCTACAATAATTACTTTGAGAAACTTCTCACAAATGTGAGGGAGAATGTAAATTGGTCTTTGGTACTTTGATGATACCAAGGGGTTTGGAGAAGTAATCAAAAAGATTTGCAGTAGACAATACTAGTACCTCAAGCTAAGAAACTAAGAAACTGATGTGCGGTATTACCAGACGTGCATATTTTAATAATTATTGTAGTTTATTATCATTATTATTATTCCCAGATTGGCCGATGCTACATTTATAGTTCCATTCTTAAAATTCAGCACGCTGTATATGAATTTTGGTTCAGGGAATTTTCCCCGTTTTTATCTAAATCTAAAAATGGTTTTGTTAGCAACTTCAACGAGGGACATCACACCAACTCTCAAACACAAAAAATATACAAGATAATAATAAAAGCTAAAACTAATAAATTATAAACTGCTAGTAAAAGATAACCTAAAAGAGTTTACTTTTAGAAACAGAGAGAGCTTGACTGGTAACTGTTTCTTTCCGGAATTTGTTCCATTCTGTTATTGTCCTGGGAAAGAAAGAAAATCTAAAAATATTCTTCTGTCGTTTCAGTATGATTAATTTACAATCATGGCTTCCTTGTGTTCTCCTTTCTCTATTTGAAATCAAATTGTTTCCCCCTTTTGTTATCTTGGAAACCATAGCACATCTTACACATAACGGACATCCTTGCGTATCTACTAATTGTTTCTAGTGTGTCCCACTTCAAATCCAGCAGCATTCCCATCACACTTGCTTTTCGATCATAATTTCCGGTGACAAAGCAAGGCCCCTTTTTGCTGAAGGAACTGAAAGACTGACGTGCGTGGCAGCACGAGCATCGTTGGATCTTTTTCTTTTTGTTGTTGCCTGAAGTGCTGCTTTAGCATTCTCCAATTCTTACGTCCTCTTGGTTTTCTGGCGAGTTCAGATATCCCAGTCGCTGGAGAGTATGCTGCGTTGTGGGACTTTCCACAAGAGAAGCAATGACAGCGACTTTTTTTCTTGGACTACTTGGAAGATTTGCTCTCGTAGTGTCGACAGCTCGTTTTCGAGAGGTTCTGTTAGGAAATGCTTCTCGGACAGCATTAGGTGAAACAGGAACATTTGAAGATGCTTTTTTTTTCGTTTTCTGCCTTCTTTCTCGCTCTCTGTTTTGCTTTATAAAGCCGCCATTTTGGTTTGGATGCTTTTCTTTCACGCTCTTGTTCTACAACAATGCGAGGCCGCTTCTTTCTTCGTTCCTCTTTTCTATCTTTAAGTATTACATCTTTGTTCTTCACGTAAAACCTTGCATTATATTCTCGTTTCTTTTGTTTCTTCCTCTCGCGTGATTCACGCAATCGCTCAGCTCCAGTTTTTCCCATGTCAGTATCGATAAATGTTTAAAAGGTATCTTGAGCAGGCCCTTTATATACATGCCGACAGTGCACCGGTGCGGTGCACCAGTGCACTGCACCGGTATTCGTACCTTTTTCTCACGCTATTCGCGCAATGACTTAGATTCAGGGTTGCTCTGATTTAAAGAACAATTTTAAATAATGATTGTTTGAAAGCAAACTCTTAACATGCGTTTACTATACTTAGTGATGCGGAGAAAACGTTTACGTACGAATAAACACCAGTGCACTGGTGCACCGGTGCACTGGTGCACCGGTGCACCGGTGCACTGGTGCACTGGTGCGCCGGTGCGCCGGTGCACTGGTGCACTGGTGCACTGGTGCACTGGTGCACCTGTGCACTGGTGCACTGGTGCACCGGTGCACTGGTGCACTGGTGCACTAGTGCACCGGTACACTGGTGTCGTAGTGCAATTGACAAGATGGCTTCCTTGGACTTGTAATTAAGAAACTGAAACACGTTGCCTTTACCAACTAAAAGGAGGCTGCTGACGACTGTTGAAGAAGGAACGCAGAATTCACATAGTGTTCATGTTAGAGCAATCTCTCAGTTCTATTTAATGCCAAGCAACGCGCTGCAGAAAAAGATTTTTTGATTAACATGACATCGGCGCTTGCTGTTTTGGACGCCCAATAAGAAATCAAAAACGCGCGAATAATGACCTTGAGCTGTACTGTACTCACTGAAAGAAGGTAGGAGGAAGAAGTCCTTTTACTGTTCTTTTCAAATGTTGGAAAAAAACATGGCTAGATTAGTAATATAGGTGCTCGGTGCACCGATAGTTAACACTAGATAACTATAATTGCTACGCACAGAAGATGGATAATGGATGTTTTCAGTCCGTTTATTTCTTAATTTTTGTTTTACGGTTTACTACTGACACCCCTTTAACGTGAAAGACATCACGATGAAACCACTTAAATACTTTAATTTGACCTGTGCTTTTCTAGTAGCAGTAAAACTGAATTTTTGTGTTTGAAATCAGTAGAGTCTACACTGTAATTGAACACCATACACATAGCCTGTACCCGTTCTAGATCGGCTTTATCTTTCTGGTCGTGCAGGTCCCAGGCACTACAGGCCAAGTATGATGTGTGTGGTTTCTTTCTATAAAGTTTTTTTCTTGGAGAGGGGGAAGGAGGGGGTGGATAATACATGTTTGTCACCCCTTCCACTCCTGGGTATTAATGACCACTTCCCTAAGAAAAACCTGTACTTCAAATGGCAGGTTTTAAGTTCTATTTAGTTAACAGTCAGTCAGGGTATAAATGCCAATGTTTCACTTTTTAGTGGGAAGGTTTCTCAATACCTGAGCTCCAGAATTTCATGAAAATACTGGATAAAGAAGAAGAGGAACACATAACACAGGTGTGTCAAGCATTCAGTGTTAAGCAAGACAAGTTGTCAATTGAAAAACCAACAACAAAGAATCTTTTAACTCGAAGACTTTGCATGCCAGAGTTGGCAACTGTTTTACTTAATTCTGAAGCAGCAAAAACCAAATTCAAGTACTGCTATAAAAAGTTAGTACTTGTAACATTGAAGAGGTTTAGTTTGATTCATGCAAGTCTCATAGTATGTTTTATAAAATAACCAAGATAGTGCGCGCATTCTGATTGGTTAAGAACCTATGGTTTATTGTGCCGGTAAACTCATAGCTTGCCTACAGTTATTTTATAAAAGCAATAGACCACACTTTCTTTTATTATATCTTTTATTGTTTTGTCTATGATTACTACGATGGGACTTTCAAATTCTGCAGACATGTGCTCTATCTGCGACAATGTTCATTTTGCAACATAATTCTCAGACTGTTGAATCTTAGTATTTTTCAAATTAACTATTATTACTATTATCATTATTACTATTATTATTATTATTATTGCTATAATTTTTTTTGTGTTTGTGTGTGTGTCCCACAATTAGGTAGAAGAAAAGTACCGAGTTTACAAAGAGAGATTGCAGAAAGCTTTGGCCCTTTCACAAGGTAAAACACCTGCAGAGGAATCTATTGGAGAACAACGCCCACCGACAGACAATTATGTAGAGGGTGAAAAACCATCTGAAGAGAAAGCTGAACCTGAAGAAGATCTAGCTAATGATGAAAGTGTGTGTTGAAGAATGTGTTGTAAAAGGTATAGAAGTGTTGGGAGACAGTGCATTTTGTGAATTCAGTATAGGGTTACTTAGTAATGCAAGAGTCAATAATCCCATACTGTAACAAAGTAAGGGTCTGTGGGTTAGCAATCAAGCAACAGAACATGGACAATCTTGGGGCGGATCCAGGATTTAGTGGAGGGGGGCTCGCATAATAAAATGTCTGACAAAGGCGTACCATCCTAGGATGTTCCCGGGGAAATTCTCACCCTTAAAATTTTGAAATTTAGTTCCTCAGAAACCAAAGCTTTTTGTCAAAAACCGCTAATGTTTAAACGTTTTCATTTCAGTTAAGTGGGTTTAAACGAACCACCCAAACCACCCCCTGGATCCGCCCCAACAATCATGAGCCTGATTTGTAATCATGCCATGACCAACAAATATTCCTACTAGGGGAAGACCTAAGTGTGTCGGAACTTTGTGAACACTTTTTGGCCGCTCCTCTGAGGACCAGAAACCAAACAGGGAGAAAAATAATGGAACGTAATTGTTTAACATAATAGTTTTTGATCTTTATCCGTGATAAATGAAAAAGGTGTCCCATAAAACGTTTTTGTACTAGCAGTAAGATACTAGAAACCTTAGTTTCTTAGTCCCAGGATTACTTACAATTGTATCCAATTAGATATGTTTTGATTTTCACAAAATGTCAATCTCTGACTGACCTAGCCACCCTAATCTTTACTCTGCTGGAAGCATAGAGAGGGGATCCTCTGAAGCTAATCCATTTTACAGGTGGAATGTAAGATTCACTTTGAAAATGTACTAATGGCTGCATTGAGACAGCTTAAAAAAACATCTAGTGGAGGTATAACATTGATATTATTAATCTTTTATAGGCCAACGCAATGCCGGCAAAGTATGTAAAAATAATGTATAGTTACGTCATACTATGCATCCATTCAATATTTATAGACATGCTGTAACAATTTCCAAATTAATGTGTTAGTTATAAAACTGACCAAAATATTTTGGAAAAAAAAAACGTCTTGGAAGGCTTTTACTTGACTGTGTTACGTACATTTTGTACATACATTTACAGCCATGTGATGTTGATCAATTTTGTGTTTTTTAACATATTAAACAAACGTCTTTTTTATAAAGAGATTTTTTATCTTACCCTCTCTTGTTTAGAACAGATTTCTTTAAGTTTTGGTCAAAGTGAGGCGGAAGTGTACACTGACGCCAAGTAATCTTCGTGGATATAAAGTTGCTCCTTAAGTCATACTGAAGCGCACAAGAACCATTACATTTTCTGGACAAAGGTTTTAACCGGGATCTGTTAATGATGACTAGTTTTGTCTCAAAAATTATTAGATTTAGCAACCTGAAACCCTAGATCCCTTCCAGGGCTAACGTTTAAAATACAGTCATGTAAATACAGATTCCAAATTATTAATCTCTAATTTTGTATGGTACATAATGATGTAAGAATGTGATGCAAGTTGATAAATTAAACCAGTTCAGTTTAGTTTCAGCTTTTGAATATCCGTTGTTGGTCGTGGGCCTTCCCCACCGACCTCCACTGGGACCACGTTTTGCGCAACACGATGGCAGTGTTTTACAAAACTTTCCAAATCGTTCCTCCATGTCGTCCTTGGCCTATCTTGGTTCCTTGTGTGTCCCTGGGGCGTCCAGAACGTAATGCGGGTTGTCCAACGGTTGTCTGTTATTCTCGCCACATATGACCAGCCCAATTCCATTTTGAGTTTTTTACTTATACCAGAATCCATGATATCCTGTGCAAATTAGAGCTATTTTCTGAACCTATTGACAAATTTTTAATAAGATCAAAACCAAATGAATTCTGGATGTTTAATATTATTAAAATGGAAATTTTTAACCCATGAATCCTGTACTTTGGTATTTTCTCGAACCCAGATCTTTTTTATTCACGACGAAGGATGTTTAGATCTGGAAATTAAACCAAAAACAACCTCGTACCCAGATTTTTTGACGAAGGTGATTGGTCAAATTGTGATTGCCTGTTACAGGTAGTGAAAGAGCGCATGCTGGAAGTAAATCCTCAATTTTCGATGTGTTAATGCATCAGTCAAGGACAGGGGGTTGTAAAGGCATGTTCTCAATTGTATGCATGCATTTCTTCATTGCTTATCAAGCCAGAATTGCATTTAGCGAAACTCGGGAGCTATCGAGGCGAATCAACGTTTTTTGGTTGGTGAATCAAATTTCTGTTGATATTTTTTGAAGAACATGTGCTTTCATATTTATAACCTATTCATAACATATAACTTTACAGCGCTCTATTAATTTTAATGTCAATAATTTTATATCAAAACTAAAACCATAAACTGGTGCATATCGTCGCGGCGTGAAGTCTTAACTCGAATCCTAGCGCTATTACAAAGGAAGACGTTACTTAAAACAAAAAGTCGCACATTAAAATGTTTAAAACGGCACTATTCGACTGTACTGTCAATGAAAAATGTTGCAGTGTTGACGGAGGACGGGGCTTTTGCCCACTTTTTTCGTCCCCACCTCGGGGGATTTGACAGCTCAATAGTCCCCATCCCTGGAAATTTGCCATCCAGGGCAAAAAAATGCTAATGGGCGGGGGTCAGCCCGGAGGGGGGGGGGGGGGGGGGGGTTTAGGGCGCAGCTGGAATTAACTGATGTTTGATAGAGCCGTGAAGTCTTTTCCAGCAAAACGTGGTTGTAGGCACATCTTAAGTGTGAACCAACTATTTGTTTTGTTGTTTTTGTTCTTTTGAACATCAAATTCAGGGCGACAGTTAGTTTAAATTTAATTATCATAGCGCGCCCTAAAGCCTCAAAGCAGTACGCATTAACTTCTACGCGAGAATCTCTTTTGGCAATTTTCCCTCCTCAAAAGTCTTTATTGGCACCGAGAGAGAGTTTTAAAAAGTCTTTAAAGATAAGGTAAATGGTTTTACAAGTTATAGTGAGACAGAAAACTACTTCTTTAGTGAAAATATCTATTTAAACAGAACTTAAGACTGCAAAGAATGAATTGCACACGCCATCGCTTAAGCAGATGACAACACACATCATTCACTCACAATCTAGCTAATAAAAGGGAAAAAGGAATTGAATTACATCGCCAGATCTCACCTTCGACTTTCTCAATAAGAGATCTGGGTGCAATGAACCAACAAAGGGATATTTTGATACTAAGTTATTACTTTTTCCAAAAAGGGAAAAATTGTCATGCTTATAGCTCCCTTGTCACAGCGTAGGGTGCATTTTTACGTGCGATAATTGAGTAAAGGAATCTGAATTTGATAATGGGTGGTGTGAATCGGACAAAATAATTCTAAATCACTTTATGAAAATCAATCTAGCAACTTCTTTTGTACAAAATAGTGACACTATGCAGCTGTTTAAAAGGTATGTGGTGAAAGCGTTTGTACCATGATGTGTTTCTTCTTTACCAGGCTACAAACTATTTTGTTTGGTCCACTGACTTTAATTAATATATCTCTTGCTAAACTCATGGGTAGTTTCTTGGTTTTTTGGACGGGTTCAATCACCAACTGACATGATACAAAAGATGGAAAGCACAATGAACAATACCCACTGTGCAACACAAAAGTAAATCAGAGGCCCTGCCAGGGTAAATTCCGACAAGCGACATGGCCCAAAAAGTAGCGACAGCGCGTAAAATGAAATCGCGACAACAGACAACCTCCCTCAGCCAAGTTGCGACAGTGATGGTAAAGCCGACAATAAGCGGCAAGCATTTATAAACATCGACATGAGATTTTTTAAAATTCAGAACGCCCCGGGCCTCAAATCAAGATAGCACTGCCTTCTGCAACACTACCCAACTTGCCTTTTGGTCGTCAAGTGGACAGGATGAACAGCATGTTTGTAACTGCTATCTGAATTTGGATCCTATTTTTAAAACACATTTTTTGCTTAACATAAGCTCTGATTCAGAAGGCTAGTCAGATATGACATCCAGAATAGCCTGAGAAAACAACCAACATTTTGTACCACATCCACCAGTTTCCTGCAAAATGATTTTTGAGGAACAAGTGCATAAATTCCTTACTGATGGCATTTCACTACCCAGATCTGGGTACTGCTTTTGATTGGATGAAGCAATATTCAACCAATCTGAAGCTCTGCCCAAGTGTGTAGTGGTGCGTAGTCAGTAAGGAATTTCCGCACTAATTCCTCAGACATCATTTTATAGGGAAACCATGTCCAAGTTCAGAATGAGAGAAAAAATGTTAGATTTCATAAACTTTGGCATCTTAAAGGATGTTACAATGGCAATGACAATGAGGAAAGAAAAGTAAGGGGTTGAACAGGCAAAACAACAACTCTGCATGAGCATCACGTTTTTTTGGTACATTTCTTTACCATCACTGCGTGACTATGTCAAAATAATACCTTATTTTCTTGTTCATGGAGGACATAAACAAGCAATAACAAAAGATACCCACGAATAAAACAGCCCTCATTTATGTTACATGCTGCAAGTTTGTGGAACAGACTACTGGCACCTGCAGAGTTGAAAGACTGCTCAGTCTAAGTTGACAACTAAAGCAAATTGAAATTTTTAAATTATTGTGATAGAAAAACTTCAACAATTCCTTATTTAGTTACTCTTCAAATTGTAAACTATGAATCTCTGTATTTTGTTTGACTGTTGTGTTTATTGTTTTCATACTTGTCAAATACTCCAACAAATTTATGCATAGCTTTGTTCAGTTTCTCATTGTTTTGCTTCATTCTTTATTGTTATGCTTTTGTTCAGTAATGTAATGTGAAGACAATGCTATGCATAAATTTGTTGGAGTGTTCCACAACCCTCACTGTTTTTTTTATTATAATTACTTATTTCATTTTCTCCGATGGCCATGTGTAGATTATCAAGAGATATTACAGTCAAACCAGGTCAAGCGTTCCCGTCCCTAACAAACTAATGAATTCATTAATGGAAAAATGATTTCGTTTGTTGATTCAATAATCCATTCATAAAATGAATAATCCAACGGTCAAATTGTACCTCGATTCAATAATCAAATGTTGATTTGGTTTATGAACAAAATCTACCTGTTCTTTATTCTTGTCTGTTGTGTTCAATCGTATTTGCTTCCCTTTTCCCTGCCACGATTGCGTTTTCATTGCCTTTAATCAAAATAACAGCTAGAATAGACAGACCGCAAAACGCAAAGAAACTGACAAAGGCCGAGGATCGAAATCCACCAATCACCGCACATACACTGACCTCAGTTTGACCGTCGTGTTTTCTAAGAGGTCAGGCCTAGGTCTGTTGCACTGATTACTGGCAGCAAACTGGCGTACATGTAACAGTTTGTTTGGGTTTGAACTTCAGAACTCGCCACCACTCGACTCTCAGAAAAAAAAAGAGGAAAAAACAAAATTCTGAGGTCAACTTGTGGAAAGTGTAATTTTTCAAAAAACAGTAATCGCATCAACATTCGATTATGGAATCGAGGCTAAATATGACTATTGGATTGTTCATTTTATGAATGGATTATTGAATCAACAAACGAAATCATTTTTCCGTGAATGAATTCGTTAGTTCGTTAGCGACGGGAACGCTTGACCTGGTTTGACTGTAAGTGTTACCCTCATAAAGAAATTATTATTATTACTATTACTACTACTACTACTACTACTACTACTACTACTACTACTACTACTACTACTACTACTTCTTACAGGAGAATAACTGCACTATCAAGAACCATTTTTCTGACTATTTATTCAAAAAAGAAAGGAAGCATTAATTTGTTCTTATCGTCTCAATACACATGCAATATAGATCCTCCCAGTGATTTCAAGCTCAACCAGTAGCACCTGCATCTTGCTTGCTTAAGTAACAACATTTTGTGGGACACATTTTACTTATCAGATGCAATATTGAATCACCAGCGAAAGATACCACCACACAAATTGGAAAGATCTGATTAAATCCAAAATGGTTGGTTTGTGGTTACATGTGTATTTCAATGTCTTGACGGTATAACAATAATAATAATAATAATGTTTTAATTTAATATGCTTCACACATGACAACCGGAAAGTCCACATGGAGTCTTGGAAAGGGTAACTCTACCAAACCCTGGGGGAGTAGACGTCGTGTTACTTTCTTCATATAGGATTTCTTTCCTCTCTTGCTGGGTCGTACTTCTTCATAAAATTCATGTGCCAAATCACCATCTTCATCAAAATACATGGAACTGGCAAAAAAAATACACAACAAACAATTTCAGATCCTAAATTTGAAAGGCAGTAGGCAGTTTCAACACACAAAGTTTCCACAAATTATTTTATTGAGAAAATAAAAATGAAAACAGTCATATTCTGAATGCCTGCATGGAACAAGCCATTCCGATTATTTTAAAAAGCTGATTTCAGCTGTTTCACTAAACACAATTTACCTTAATATATAACCTGTGATAAGCGCGTTTTTAGGCACACTATGTATGATAACAAAAATGAACATAAGTTTAAGTTTTAAGCAATGAAAAGTAAGCTTGAGAATGGTGTCACAAGAGCAATGATCGCTCTCCTATGATGTTTATGTAAACTTTCCTCCGACAGTTTTTGATCAGGTCTTATTTAGCAAGCAGGACATGTAAATGACAATTTAGACAGCATTTTACATTATTCCAATCAAGAAAACGTATCACTCAAACCAAGTATGCGAAGGCTTGTTTAATAATAAAAAAAGAGATCTTAATCTAAAGTAAAGGTTAAATACAAAATTTAATTAAGAAAAAATAAGGTCTTACTATTTCTAAAAAAGGAACCGATGGCACATCCTGGTTCGATTTTTGATGAGACATTCCAAGATATTCTTAGTTAAAAATATCAGGAAAATATAAGATTAAGCTTACAATGGGGAAGAGAGAATTAAAGACATTTTAGCTTAAGTACCTTGATCGAGTGCGAACGAAAGGCGTCGCAGTTCTCAAGTAGTGGCAGCTATCAAGGCTTTGTTTTTCTCCCCCACAGCCCAGCATGTACTGCATTCCTCCATACATATTAGATACAACCGATCCCATACTGTTATTTCAGTTTTATGGCATCTATTCGAGAACAAGCCATCAGGAAAGTATTCTACCGTCGATTTACCGTGTACACTTCAACAAACATGTAAACATGGCGGTCGGTCGAGAGAGGACTGGTTCTAGGTCCTTTTCAGGTATTGGCCAGGCCCCATATTCTAAACCAGAATTGGCCCTTAAGCTGCATGGAGACTGGAGAGAGGGGGAAGAAACCCTCCCCTCTCCCTCTACCGTTCTACCACTTTTTTCCCACTCTGCTCCTCCATTTCGCGCCACTCCACAATCTGAACCTAGAACAGGCAAGTGCTGGAGAAAAAACGTAAGGAGTTATGAGCGGCCGTCCGTAAATATCGCCTGGGGGTGTGCAAAATGAAAAAATCGAAAATCCCCAAACTTTGTCAGAATATAGGTCTAGGTATACTATTTCCAGAAAAATAACTTTTAGTTCGATTGGATTTTTATTTTACGCGTACGGCGACCGAGTCGGTTCGGAGGCTCTCAGATCAGTTTTCACAGGCTCAAGACCATATATTACTTTAAAATCGTTTAAAAATTAAAGAAGTAACAAACTCTGCCTCTGAAAATCTTAATAGAAAAAACACAACTTAACCAATAGTTTCGATATACAATTTTCCTATTCGACAGCAAATCTAATATTTTTCGGATTTTTAATAGTTTTACTTATTTTATCGATTTTTGACAGACATAAAATTAGCAAATTTCAGACCCAAAAATCACTACTTGGTATACTGCTTTGAGCCATAACTTAGCTACCGATAGAAAGAGCCAGGTGTCTTCCTCAAATAAATGCAATAAAATTTTTGGGCAACCTGAAGGGAAGATTTTTGAACGCCAAACAAAAGCGACCCTTGAGGTCAAAACACGCCATTTTGTCACGACATTCGAGGGGCAAAAACAACGATACTCCCAGTAAACAAGATACTTATGCGTTTTTCCGCATGGAATTATTTCCATTTGCCTAGACAATTTGTTTTTAAGCAGCTGTATGCCTTGTTCTCCGCATTTTGTTGGGAACCGTTTGCTAACAAATTACATTTTGCGTCGTTCAATATCTATCATCTTCGTAAGTTGTCGCGGTCGAAAGCCCATTGAAACGTCATAGCTTTTTAAAACTCAAAATAATTCACGCAATTCAACGTGCAATTGTACCTTTCTTAATATGATACTAAGAAACCCTATTTATACACCTACCATTTTTTTAAAAGCCTATCAAAGATACGCAACAGCATACTGCCTTCCCATCCTGTACAAATACTCGTATATCACCGAGCAGAAATGTCACGTTTGCGTGACACGGAACAGGAAGTGCAATGCACTTCAAACCGGAAGCTGACTGAACAATTTAGTCAATCAAAACTATCCCAGCCTGAAACTATCCCGCCTTACGACGTCTCATTTTTTTCTCTCTATATTTTAGCTGATTAGATCTTTTTTTCTAGAGATCCAACGTTGACAACCAGCAGGATCTTCGTCTACGGCTTCTGGAGTTTATTTCTTAAAGTTTGCTATGGGACACAAATTCAATAGAAACGTTTATAATTGTTAACAACAATCTTTAAAAAGGCCCTAACTTATCACTAATTAAAATATGAGAGAAAATAAACTGGATTGACCGATTGAACACACTATGACAACCTTCCACTTCCGGTTTAAGAAATAAACTGCCCTGAGCTGTGGACGAAGATCCCGCGTGTTGGTTGCCATTGTTTGATCTCTAGGAAAAAAGATCTAATCAGCTAAAATATTGAAAAAATAAAAACTGAGACTACTGCAACGTGTGTCACTCGAGTACGCAACGCCGTCAGCAGCTGCAAGATTGGCAGGAAGCTTTGTCGCTAATAGGAAAAACTGTTTGAATGCAGAGGTCCACGAAACGCGTAAATATAACTGACTGGTTCCTTGTTCCTAGTTTGCTATGATGTTGTCATCCACAAAGAGAACATCTTAAGCTTTTCCAGTGAGACAGCATTCGGCCTTAATCCTTGAATCTGAAAAGGACAGCAGAGGCGTGCAGCGTGCAGCCTTTAATGTGCGTACTGTTGTACCATATTTGGACTATTATCATAGGATACCCATCCATTATGAAAATGCAATCACATCTGGGACATCCATATTTGGAATCTATCAACATATGATACCCAACCGATCGAAACACATTTTCTAGTGACGTTTCTTGTAAATTTCCAAAGAAAACGTGTTGAAATATCAACTATGTGTGAATGTAATTTTAAAATAGTGAAAATATGCCAAAAATGTTCTAACTTTGAGAGTGGCTCACTCTCAGAAAAGCTGCTCAGAATCGAAAAAGTAGCTCAAAATCGTACAAGTTGCTAAAAAGTTACCGGGCAGAATCTCTCTAGGCCTAGATTTAAATTTAGCTGAAACTTTGTTTTTCTTTCGGTTGTCTTTTACACTTAGCGTCAGTAAATAACATCCAATTCCACACCCCGACTCCCTGCCCCACCCCACCTCCCGGCACGCTCACAAGCCGTGAGACACAATCCCTCGTTAGCTTGGATGCCAGGAGATTTATCAGTAAGGCCATTCAACTACTCAGTCCCAAAAGGGTAAATTTGCTTATCAGCGTACCAGATTTTCTGTTATTACACATGCAATGAAACTGGGAAAATACTGTGCTGGGGAATGTTAGAAGAGAGCAGGTGCATATGCTTAAAATCTCAGTAATTAGTTACAAGAGCACGAATTTACGCGTTCATCGATAAGTTTCACTCAAATGTCTTCGTTTTCCAGATCAGCATATCAAAGGCAACATTGACTCGCTCAACGACACGGGGTACCCAACAAAGTTTTATACGGGGAGTCACTGCCACAGGAATGAACCCATTACCCATGTTTATACCATTTTTGACTGAAAAGGTGTCCTCTTTCGCGTACTTTCCTGTAAAAAATGATGCCCCCTAAAAAGTCACTTTTCGTTGCATCCGCTTAAACTGCTTTGAAAGCCCTGTCCCTCTCTTTTCCTTTTTTTAAACTGTATGAACTGATAAAAAAACCAAGATATTTCTCTGCATTTTGTTCCTTAATCCTTCCTTTTGGGTCCTTTTCTCAACCTTTCATATATACTTTTAATATTAGAATCGCTACCCTCCAATATACCTGAAACCTTAGCTAGCCCTTTCGGGTGGAGCCAGTTACCGTGTACGCTATTATCATAGAGAGTTCTCCGGGCGCTCAGCTGGGGTAAACTTCCCAAAAGGCTGTGCTTCTCCTCGAGAAACTGACATTTTCTCTAATGTAAGTCAAGGCACTGAAAGGTGCTTATAAACGCATCCTTGAACTGGACCAAAAAGAGCTGGCTTTCGAGGGCTTTGCGTTGGGCACACCCCGGGGGCCCCGGGGGATACCGATAACGCCAATCGCTGGCTGTGCGTAAGTCTTTCAAATAAAGCCCAGTTTTCTATGCATTTGGAGGTTAGGGAGTTTTGATCATTGTAACGATGAATTATACTTGGCCAATATTTCGGTCTGCAACACAAAACTTCAACGGGGGTATAAAAAAGAACATAAAATGAGTACAGATGCAAGGTGAATTCGAACGTTAGGTTACAGATGCGAGATTTGAATATACATGGTAAACAGAAAATGATAGGCTACTAAAAAGATAAATGTCACTTTCCGAGTTCATTGATTTATACCACGGGGTTCAAAAGCCGTTTTATTTTTGTTTTCTTTCTTTCTTTTTTTCTGTCACTCTTCCTGCCGTAAGGATCAGTTTACTGTTTTAATTTTAAAATCTGGTCAGTAATGTTACTGATCCTGGTCTGACATTCACTATTTGGTCATCGTAGTTTTGCCTTCACAACTGTCCGTGGTACTGAGCTGCCTGGGGCAGGAATTTCATCGCGCAGTCTTGAGTAATTAATATTAAGTATTCCGCCAGATTGTCTTCGATGTTTGTACATAATACACGGGAAATTTATACCTCCTCCCCTGCAAACAAGGATGGGAAAATGGTACAGTTTCATCCATGATTTGGAAGGGAAGGGGGGTTGGATTTGCTGTTTCGTTTTTCATGATTCTGTCCAAGATTGTAGCTCCATGGGTCTTCCTATAATCTGATGATCTTTTGGCTTAAAATAAGCATGCCAGGATCAGCAGACGAGATCTCCCAAAATAATAGATAACGCCTGTGGCGTAATTTTTTGTTTCTCAAAAGTTTCGTACTCAGTTCGTCGCACTTTCAACTAGCCAACGTTAACTGAAACATCCTTTTTACTTTTAGATTTTAGTTTTAGGAAGGATTTAGTGCATCTTACTTTTTCCTGTTACTTGAGAACTGTTCAGACACAGTGCTGCTGATATTACCCTCCCCGGCCCGCTGGAGCATCACCCTACGTGAGTAACGCATTCTCCTTCCCGCTCCGAGCAGGTACGGTGATGTGAGGAGACCGCAATAGCCGGTTATATATATCCAAAACATCTTCATTTCCTAAAAGATAAGTGTTATATTTAGTCTTTATACATCGTTATGTAAGCCAACGTCGGTAAATTTGTTCTTTTATGTACATGAATCCAGTTGGTAGTAAGTTTGAAACATGTGATCCGAATGTTGTCGAACATTGACCGCCGGTTAAAATTAGGCTTTCGGCTGCCAACGGGCGCATTTTAAGTGAAATAATCAGGCAAAAGAAATGCAGATAAGTCAAGTCTAATCAATATTGCTCAACAGCAAAGAGCTTTGGAGGAATCTGGTCAATAGAGCATTTTTCTTTGATGTAACCGCCTTCGAATGCCGTGACAAAATGGTGTGTTTTGACCTCAAGGGTCGCTTTTGTTTGGCGTTCAAAAATCTTCCCTTCAGGATTGCCCAAAAATTTTATTGCATTTATTTGAGGAAGACACCTTGCTCTTTCTATCGGTAGCTAAGTTATGGCTCAAAGCAGTATACCAAGTAGTGATTTTTGGGTCTGAAATTTGCCAATTTTATGTCTGTCAAAAATCGATAAAATAAGTAA